AACCGCCATCATATCCACTGTTTCCATTATATTTATCATATCCATCATCATCTGAATCGTTTGGCATCTCTTCTTCGGAATCATTGTCATGGCTACAGTCACTATCATCATCTACCACATCTGGTACCTTTGGAATCTCTTCATTCGCCTCTTTCACTTCCCCATCTTCAGAATAAAAATACACATCGTCATCATTGTCTGCCTTAGCGATTATTCCAGACTTTTTAGAATCCTCCTCAATCGCTCCTTCTTCCTTAAAATAATCTGTAATATCAGACGTGTCACTAAAATTATCATCCGAGGAGTCATTAGCTGAAGTAGTAACCACTGTCTCAGAGATTTCGTTTACAGGACTAGTTGCTATTTTCGATTTGACCTGTTCTATGATGTATTCGATTTGAGGATTAGTGAGCCTTGAAATTTTGTCAGCGTTACAGGTGACCCGTTAAACCATATAACCCGGTATACCTTTAATCTTTTTCAGAGTTATAGGATCATATTTATACCCAAATAACCTATTAATTTTTCTCGCTTTACAGGTCATTACTTGTAAATATCCAATCGAAACATCTGCGAGATACGGCTTCATTTCATTATAGATCTGCTTTCTTGCAGTCTGATCCGTAAGTTTCTTATCGTTAAACCTAAGCTCCACAACTTTATCTTCGAACCTTTCAGAGAATAAACACCATAATGTAATCTCTGATCGCTTTGCTACGATCGTTTTATTTCTTGCAACATTCGCTTGGCAGAATGAATTGGCAAGTTTTTTGATGCTTATTGATCCGGGAACTATAGTTTTGGGAGAAGAAAACTTTATAGTCTGGAGTGGATCGTCAGATGAGAGTAGCTCTTCTAACAAATCTTGTACGAATTCAGTTACTATACTCGAGGAAGCCTGAACATTCCCACTATTCTTAGTTGGTAGGATGTGGTCTCTTTGGAACACTTCTGGTAAGCTATCAGAAGAATTTTCTTTTCCCGATCTTTTTGTCTCTACATTTTTATCTATCTCCGGGCAGACGTTGAGAGGAGTATTAACAATTTCTTCCTCTTGTTTTTGTCTCTCATGTGATGATTTTGAATTTTCAGAAAACTTCTTAACTTTGTTAAGGGGTTTTATATCACGTGATAATTCAGAATTTTCAGAATACCTGTTAATGGGTTTTATATCATGCGTCACTTTCGAATCTACTATGAGGATGTCTTCTTGAGGAGTATTCGCAATGACCGATTGAGAAACAACTACCACAGTTTCTGATACATAAGCAGTATCTGAGATGCTGTCCTGATTAGCTGATTCACGCTGGAGTTTCTTCTCTTTATTATATTGCCTAATCTCATCACTAACCTTTTTCTTATACTCCCCATCCAAGAAAGCATTTGTTTCTTTGTCTTCAGGTAATAAAGTATCCACCAATGATTTCTCATGATGTGTTACCATTGGCATCTGATCTGCAACCAAATTGAAGTTAGAAGAATTATCATTTAGAGTCTGCTTCTGTTCCACTTTCGTAATTCTATCTCTAAATTCAGATTCCAACTCCTCGATTCTGACCTTGAGTTTGGCATTTTCAGCATCACGTCTCTCATTATATTCCTCATTCGATCTTAGAGTCTCCGCATTCCTGCGCTTAAGTTCAGCTATTTCAGCATCAGTCACTGAGAGCTTGTTTCTAAGATAGGGAATTTCGGCATTTTCAGCTTCAAGCTCAATAATCCGTTGTTTCAATAAATCTATTTCAGATTGCATTGCCTATATTGAAATGATAATTATTTTTTTATACTCTATATGTTAGTATTCA